CTTGCCGCCCACTCCTCCCAAATAAGGAATATATTTCCTTATGATTTTGGTTTATTCTTGGGAGATTTGATTTAGGATTTATTTTTGATTTATTGTTTTATTTATCAAATTTAAATTTCATCTTTAGGCAAGTTTTAGACATTTTACGAATTTATCAATTTTAATTTTCTTTTTAATTTTGTTATTTTCCTTAAAAGGCCAAGGGCCTTGCCCTATATATAGGCATGTTCCCCTCCATTGTACCATATCCTTGGATTGTTGAAGTTGAATAGAATTGAGAGTGTTCTCACTCTTTGCCTCGTGCAAACCCCTTCTCAAATTTTGAATCCCTTTGTGTGGTTGAACTTATGCCTTCGCATTTGACCCCTCGGAGTATGCTTGTTTGATTGGTCATCAAACTCGTGGAGTGTTTCCGGCCTCGAGCATAGTTAGTCATCTGTCTGCTCAAGGTAACAACTGCAAAGGTAATCCCTCTAACCTTGGCCTTTCGGGTTGAACCATCTATACGATTGGATTCAAGTGGCTTGTGGCTCGAGTAGCTCACATACGCTTGGGTTGTCGCGTATCACTTCATGTAAGTATAGAAGAAGCAATTCTGTAGCACATAGAGCTCGCTCTATTTCATCTCTTCTAGCCATAAGGGTCACAACTTTCTCTTTATTTTTAGGGGCCTTCTCTTTGTTTTTATTTCGAAGTTCAACAACTTCTTTCTTTTCGGCCTCTAACCTTCTTTCAGTTGCATGTGTTACCCTAAACTCGTAGTTTGTATTTATATAAAAACAAATGTATATTCAATAAAGTTTTATTCAATCAATTTGTTGTTGAATTCATAGCATTGCATTGTAAAAAATCCAATAAACTAAACATCTAAGGTTATTATCATGTAACTGGGACAGTATATCTATTGGGTATATATTTGATATACTGGGTATATATTTGATATACCCGTGATATACTAAGTATATATTTGATATACCCCTGATATACAAGTGGATAATGTTCCGTGAATAACTTAAAGGATCTATAATATATGGATAAGGCTGGGTACCTTATCCTGACAACACTATGGATACGACCCACTCTGTAAGTGTTACAGAAGACTCGATCCAGGTCGTTCGTGTGCAGACATGTGAGTGGGGGTATCCTATACAATGAGTTTATATAAGATCGGACCGCGAAATAGCCAATCTTTAGATGTAACGTTGTTGACTAACATATTGCTATTTCATAAGATGACCAAACAACTCATTCTCAATCCTGAGTGAGTTATGGATTCCTGCCCGTGAGGGTCGTCCTTTGATATGTATGGGTGAGAGTGGATCGAGTCACCGACTCAATATTCTTACCATTTTGGGGACGAGACCGAGTGGGGAGCTGGGAACATAACTTCACAAGATGGAATTCACTCCTCCCTTTCATTATGGAGTAGATCAGTGTTCTTTTAAATGCTGACTCCAGGACTTGAACAAGGGGCCCTACCCTCTCACTGGTCCAAGAGGGACTTC